TTCTTTTATAGAAAACAATTTCTTCTGAGTTTGTAATGACATGAACATTGTGGCATACCTATATCCCTGCTTCTGTGAAATGGTCATAATGTTTAACTGCACTGATGTATTTTCTTTCTAATCAAGAAGTTAAAGGATCCGCTAGCTTAACAGGTGCCTCAATTGTGTATAATTAGTTGCTAGGAGTTGTTTAGCATGGACTGATTAGTCTCAGCCAAAAGATGTTTTTTCTTCAACAAAGCCCTGAACACGTCCAGAAATTCCTGAGCCATAGTCAAATCACATTCCTCTGGGAAGCCTACACTCTGGGAATGGGAGAAATAAGAACTTTACTAATTGCGCGCGCGCGCGCCCGTGTGTGTGTGTGTGTGTGTGTGTGTGTGTGTGTGTGTGTGTGTGTGTGTGTGTGTGTGTGTGTGTGTGTGTGTGTGTGTGTAAGTGCCAGTATTGGGGCTTCAACTCCGGGCCTCTCAATTGGTTTTTCCACTCAAAGCTGGAGCTCCAGCTTACGCTACACTTCTACTTTCCCACTAGTTAATTGGAAATAAAGGCTCCTGAATTCTCCTGATTTGACTGGTATTTGATTGTGTTGCTTGGATCTCAGCCTCCTAAATAGCTAGGATTACATGCATGAGCCACTAGTGCCCAGCTGAATGTTGTTTGATGCCAGGCAACCATGATAGGAAAACATGAAACAACTTGAGTCCTTTTCTCTCCCAGCTCCAGCGTAGGATGTAGAGTAAAGCTTTCCCACTTAAGTGCTTACTGATGACTTTGTTAGTTTACAAACAACAACTTCATATGAAATAATCAAAACAAATGGCCTCTCTTTGTCTCTCCTATTTTGGCATTTGGGGTAGATGAAAGGGACAGCTATCTTTCCACATCCTACACAGATCACAGCATTGTTCTTATACGTATGTGGCTGTTTAAGCCCTTACTGCAATTCCATCCCCATGTCAATTCTCTGTGTTAACAGAAGGCATATTTCTTGGTCTCATGGATGTCCCTATAAAAGGACCCAGTTCTTCCTGGCTATTACCAACACACAAACCCTATGTAAGTGGGAGGCCATCATATCTCACAGTGATTAGCTGTCAAAGTGCCATTAAGAAGGTCTGGCACTTCTGATACCCTGAGATGCCCTTTTTGCCCTCTTACAGCAGTAGATCACTAGCTCAACATCTGATACTTCCCTATAGTGATTTGCAAGAGAGTTCCCTTGTTAGTATCTGGTATGAACACCAGAATTCTTTTTATCTAAACGACTGGTTTCAAAGATTATTTGATAATTCCATCTAAACTCTGAGTAAAAGTAAAATATATTTTAAAATCAACTTTATAAAGAAGCATATATTTTAAACATACAGTATTAATAATAGTACAGTAACTAACAACAGATGGGAAATGATATGATTTTTAAAGGAATTGAATGTAAACCTAGGAAAGGAAAAATGGCAGAAGGTAGGAATAGTAGTTCATATACTTCAGCTTGTTTATAATAAACGCTTTAGTTTGAAGAATTGAATACAACTTACTCATCCATCAGAACATATTGAATAAATGCCTACTATGTTCCAGCTACTATACTAGACACCTTATCTACATGTCAGTTCCTTTTTTTCATTTGACCTTTCTTTAAATTAACCATTTGTATATCTTAAGGGAACTTCAGAGTCTATTTGGTGTTGCCCCCAAAGCAAAGGAAAAATACCTTAAAATTCAGTGACTTTCATTAGGGCCATATCTTAGAAGAAAGACATTTCTTTAAATTTTTTATCTTTAAAAAAGTGTGGTAGTGGAAGGCTGGGCATGGTGCTATCTACCTACAGGCGTAGCACTTGGGAGGCTGAGGGACTGATCATGTGTTCCAGGCAATTATGATCTATATACCTAGTTCTAAGCCAGTCTCAGGAACATAGCAAGATTCTGTCTCAAAAAAGAAAAAAATGTAAGTGAAGCTGATCATATTGTTTTTATGTTACCATTTTGAAGTATTCTTTAGGCAAAAAAAAAGATGAAGAGGAAGGGAGAATGATATTTAGACACAGAAAAAGAGCTGCAATGACTGTTCCATACAGTTCTCCTGTAAGGTCTCTGCTGAGAAGGTCTGGTTGTGTACTGATCTGATACAGTCACGTGTGAGACGGTGACCTCTGAAAATCTTGTCTATCCATGAGGAATAAGATCAAAGGGTACATGGGAATAAGAACACAATAAATTGAGTCTTGACTCACTTTTAATATGTATTCTTCTATATCTCTGTAGGCCTCAGTACCAATCACAAAATCAAAGAAGAGATCATCTCTTATAAAATTATAGGAATTTGTCTTTAAATCTGCTTAAGGGACATACCAACAGACCACGATAGCTGCTTGCATTGGTTTCCATGACTTTCTGGGAAGGACTAAAAATAAACCCTGGACATTTTTGTCCTTTAGTATTCTATTGTTGAGCCATCAACTACTGATGCATTCAAGGTCTTCTTCAATTTTTGTTTTTAAGGGTTGAAACAAGAATTGACTTATAGGGCTGACATCTTCTCTGTGATGCATAGCTTTTAAGAAAAAGCTCATAATGTCTCTTCTATGTTTAAGATATTCTTTGGAAAACTTTTCTAAAACATAAAGGTTAAATTATGCCATACTTCTCTATTGCTCTGCTCTCCTTGACGTGTGCTGTGTTATTGCATGTCTGCTCCGCTTCTGTTAAGAATTATTGCTCTTATTGTGTTGACTTCAGCAAACTATTCTTAGATAATACTGAACTTATTTCAGTCTGATCCTTTGACTAATACACCTTTTGGTCTCTAGGGGATTATTTACTTTCTTCTATGTTGGGAAGGGCACTCTTGCTGCAGAGGGTCATAGTGGATTTGGAGGATGGTGATAGAAATCCTGGCCAGGTGGCCATCTATAATTCAGTTTCAACCTTTTAAGGATGAGTGTAACTAGACAATCCTAACTCTAAATGAGGAAAACTGTTTTCAAATATAAATGAGAGAACCATTTTATCAGCGTTGACTACTGTTAAGCAAACGGTAAATTTCTAAAGATATATCTCCTCAAAATAAAGGGCAGGTAACCCAAACCTCCTGGGTAAGTCTCTTTTTGCTTGTTTAGAGGGAAAAAAAAAATCTCTGTACTTGATTTAACGGAAGGTTGTAACCTTGACAAACTGAACACTGAGGAAGGCTTTTACATTTCCATGCTTCCAACTAAGAACCCGGTTGTTGCGACTTGTCTCACTTGGATCCCTGCTCTATACTCATGAATACGGTTTCTAAGTTGTGGGTAATGAAATGAAAAGTACTTTCAAAGTAATCTTGTGAAGAATCTCAGATTTTTACACTGTGCCAGTTTATTTTAATCGGTGCTATATAATGTGCAGCCTGATTATTACATTAACTCTGTGAGAAGAACACTCAATTACTCCTATGAGAGTCTTGAGACTTTTCTCATGTACAACTTAGATTTTGGTTTGTGGTTTTTAATTGTACTCAAATTTATGTTTGCAAATAAGATAGTTGAAGACCTAAGAAACTGCTTCAAAAGCAACTATGATAATGTGGTGTTGATTATTTTGGTATCTGAGAGTTGCTGGGCATTTTTGCAGAGAATATAAAGAATTGTGTGACAAATGGAATGTAAGCATGAGACTTTTTTAAGTTAATTGCAGTTTACAGCAGTGTGAATCTTTTCTTTTTGCTATTGCTTATAAAGACCTTGTTCATTTTATGAAGAAATTATAAATCATTTCAAACAGAAGTACATGTTAGAGCGTGTTAGAGAGGAAATGAATTCCTCGATATTGAAGCACATACTGCTTAGTGAGAGAATTAATATTCTCAGTTCTCGGATGATAAAGCCTTATTGAGTTGAATCTTTGTTGTATTTAATAGTTTGCTATGTCTATAGGGTTTTTAGGTCTGTTAATAGTTTTCTGCTAAAACAAGATCAGCACTAACAAATATCTTATAGCATTGCCAAAGTGATGTTTGGGTCGTCTAGTATGACCAAATATGTGTGGTAATTGTTACATTATGTTTGCTCAAGCCATTTACATGCTGTTCTTGGAATATTACAGGTTGTTACTCAGAAATCTCTTACCATATACAAATACTACCATCCAAATTAGGAAAAAGTGTTTCTTCCTATTTTAACCCTCATACTTGCCTTCCCAAATCACTGTTTCTGTAATCCAAGTCGGATGAAATCCTAAAGAAAAAAAATCACTTATAATTTGATGGACCTATTTCCTCTATGATCTTGTTACTTCGTGCCATCTCTCACTGAGCTCTGGGCCTCTGCCTTTTCAGTTGCACTTTGTATTGTTCTGCAGCTTATTTTCATCTCTTTCTAAATGAGGGCCAATCAAGCTCATTGGAATGTATGTCTTCTTTTGCTAAACCATCCTTCCTTCCCTATTCTCAACCTACCTTCTCTGGTGTTACCTCTGAGTGACCCTCTCCTTTGGCTTTTCCCCAGATGCCAGTTCATACTCCCAAGAGAAACTAACTCTGCCTTTCTTTTCCTGCAATACTAATGTTCTGTCATCTGCTTATCTGAAATACTGCATTTCACTGCCTTTGTTCTTCTATCTGATTAATTATTCTTAGCGCTCACTCACCCATTTTATTTCCTCTTTGTCTTCCTTTTATACATATTCATTGATACTTATTTATCAATGAATGTAAGCAGGCAAGTAATTTGTGTACTATTATTTACACTTCTTGCCACTTTATAAATGTCTTCTCATCCATTATAGTTTTTTTTGATCCTGACAACTCTAAGAATTAATGAGAATGTTATTTCTCTTATATAGGGGGAGAAACTGATTTTTCAGACTTGCCCCACAGCTCAGTTTAGGACTTAGGTCTACCAGCTCTTTCACTGTATCCCATCACCTCTCTCTGGCAGAAGGATTACAATCCATTAAAGATCTTCACTATGCTAGAAACTGGATGGAAATTAACCAAACCCTTCATTGTACCTTTGCAGATGAGAGTCCCTACACTAAATCCGCCAGCCAGACAAAGCCGCCTGATGGATCATTGGCTGTGAGGAGACAGAGCATTCCAGGTTAGACCTGACTGTTGGATTTTTCAGCTATTTTGCTAACTTCTGAATCCTATTATCTGTTGATTCTAAATAATTCCCCCCTGATTACTAAAAATCATGCTATCTCCGAGAGCACAGACTGCATTCTACACATTTGTTCAAACAATAGTTAAAAAATAAAAATAAAAACAGACTTCAGAAAAGCTTGGCAACTTGTGAGAATCCATCTTGTAACCCAACACAACAAAATCCTTTGTGAAAAGACTTGAATTTAAAATCAGCTTTCACTCACTTACTCTCACCTCTGTTTCCAGCGGGATAAACTTGCATGGCAGCATCTATTTATTTCCTGAGATACCCTGCAGAACAAAGGGGTTCAGAATTGCAGTAGCAGATCCTGCATGTGGAATGGAAATGTTCCCCTTTCTTCTCTTCTTCTTCAAACTTAGGTTTTCTTCCACTGGCCAGCTCTTGTAAAATTCAGGGACTTTCTTTCCTTAGGCAGATGTGATTCTGATGGTTATAATACAATGAATGGTGTCAGTGTTTTTCCCAACAAAATATTTGGAGAACTATCTTAAAATGTCTCCACTCCAAAACTTTAATCTCTTGAAGCTTTGAGTTTGCCAATAGCACTAAAGCATCTTAAGTTTTCAAATCAAGAGGGGAAGAAAATTCAGAATATTATTTGAGTTTGGTCTCAGCTACATGATTTATGAAAAATCCCCTTACGGAAGTAATGGTGCTTAAGAACAGGGTTAAAAGCACTAACATGTTTAAAGATTTATAAAATAAAATACGATGTTTGTGTAAGTAAAGTGAATACAGCCGAAGCTTGGATATGAAATTTTAGAGCTAGCCATTTCAGCAATTCAAAAGAACCAAATCGATGTCTTCTGAGTTAAAATGAATGGGTTGGCAAATCGGTCTAGTGAAGGGGAATTCTCCATTTGAAGAAAAAGCAAGGTAAGTCCAGTTTATGAACATGAACTTTGTTCATGATTCTTGTTTTTATAAGAATTACATGTAGTTATTTTTACTCTTATTCTTAAAGCTTAGATTTATTCTGAACATACTTGGCTTAGGAACAGAATATGCAGATGTTGTCCATCCTTGTTTGGGTGCTTTGAATATTCTAAAGTAATTTGAATTCTGTAATTAGATGGCATTACGCGGTGCTGAGATTTCTTCTATTTCATCTTACAAAACATCATTCTTAGTGCTGGTCACGTTTAGGAAAACTCTTGCAGTCAGCTTTGGGCTGTGTTCTCTGCTTTCTCCTTGTCAGCAGTAAGCAAGTGCCCGGGGTTTGAAGGTCAAGAATGTCACTTGTCTATCAATGCCTCTTCATTTCTGTATGCTACCTAGTACTCTGCGTCCCTCTGCTAGGAAGGCAAGAAACCCCTCACTTCCTCATGTGAGAATAATCAAGCCCCCCTGCCTGCTCATTACTTATGTTTTCCATCAAGGGTTCTCTAGTGTTACATACTAAATTAGAGCACATAATAGAACACCAGGCTAAAGTCACGACATTGTTTTTCAACTTACATATTAAGGGAACAAAGAGGATAACCATAATCCTTAGCTTATAACACACAAGAAATACTTCATTGTAGAATTTTATGTTTTATTCTTCCATTTATCAGATTTTTAACGTTCCAAAAAAAATTAAAATAAACTGCATGGATTGTTTAAATGGCCAGAGAAAACAAATGTCTTCAAGGTCTTCTCAATTATTTAAAACAGCTCAAGGAAAAGACTGTACCCACCAGAGGGCTAAGAAACTACAGTGGTTAATAGTGGATTGTTATTTAATATTTTCTTAAAGGGAAAATGAACACACTTCTTAGGAACTGCTTCTTGACTGATTTACTGACTCTTAAATTTCTGATCTTTACCACCTTACTGAAAAGTACCTAAAAAATGCATGTGCTGACCAAAGTAAAGGCGTGCTCCCAGAACCCTGGCTAAGAAGTCACTTACATCAAAGAAAAATCGAATCCAGAAGTCATGACCAGTTTCCTACCATGCCGCTCTCCATTCCTCCAAAGCCCACGATAAAGGGAGAAATGCAGAGGAAATGGGCCCATAAATATATGCTCTCTATGGTTTGCTGGAGTTTGGGCTAAAAAACCCTAAACTAGTCTGATAGACAGCATTGAACCACATAGAGCTGGAAGAACCAGATACAGGTGGATGGCTTTTGTCTCATTCTGCTGTGGTCACCTCTCAATCTTACTTGCCCCGCCAAATATTATTACCCCTATGGGAGCATGTATAAGTGGATTTAGAGAGAAGAGTACCAAAGTAAAGAAGGCCTAAAGAAAAGCCTGACCCATCCACCCTTTCCTGATGTACAGAGGTACCTTCCAAACTAGATCAGGGCAATTAAAATGCCCCAGCTATTGAAAAGCAAGCCAACACACAGAGGCTAAAACCTCCAAGGACCACAGCTTTATCTTTATGTCCCTCAAAGCCCTACTCACAGTGATTCAAAATGGCAATTTTCCCTTTCTTGTCCTACTAATGCTTGCTTTGGGAGATGGGGAGGGATCATACGGAAGGGAGAACATAGGTAGCAAGGGTTTCTTAAACTTGTGTATCCAAATGTTATGACAATGTAAGTTGATCTTTAAAACTTATTTTACAAATATAGATCCGGTGCTTCCTGAAGCAAATATTTATACAGATATACATAGATTTAAAATAAATGTTAACATGGGCTCCATTATTTCTAGGGTATAATAAACAGTAACTTTTAGCAATTATATACCAACAAGGTAACCTTGAATATTAACAGAAATATAAATTTGTTCTTTGTTCATATAAAATCCAATACCACTATCTAAACTCAGAATTATTGTAGCAATTATTTTATAATAAATCACAAACTAAATGTGTACCTTTTGTTGAATGCCAGTTCCAATCATAAATCTTTTCATCTCCCTCCTTTTCTTTTCCAAAAGAAAGGAAGATGGATTAAACATGTCTTAGGAGAAAAGTACATTTGCTTTGGATAAAGGAAAAATGAATTATTAATGCTATTTGAAAATTTGTCATTTTAATCATGTCTATTATGGCATAAAATATTTAAAAAATCTTTTCATCTACCATAAACTTTTGGAAATTTTTCATTGACAATAGTAAAAAAAATGACATACATTTCTCTGATACTGGAGTTTAAGTTAGAGACTTCATATTCTCTTAAAAGTATTAAGAACGGGCTGAGAAGGTGGCTCAGTGGTAGAGCACTTGCCTTGCATTCATGAGGCCCTGGGTTCGATTCCTCAGCACCACATAAGCAGAAAAAAATAATAAATATCTCAAATGATGAAATATTTATAAAAAAAGTATTAAGAATGCATTTTCAATGTTATTTCTGTCCATTTTTTTCATAAACAAATTGCACATATAAATGTAGTTTGAACTACTGTATATAAACTTTCTTTTTTTAGGTTTGATCTAATGCTTTTTTGTACATTTTTTATTGTAAAATTTAACAGATTATTAGTAATTTGAAGTTTGATTACTAAGGTATCTAGACATGGGTTTTATAGATTTTATAATAAATTCTTGTTTTTCCTACTCAGAAATGTAATATTTAATCATGTCTCTCTAGTGTTTTTGTGTTGGAGTCCACTGTCTCTTAGAGTTAGCATATGTTGATGTGACTTGCCTCCTCTTTCTGTACAAGATATCTTTCTTTGCTTATGTTTGACATGACAAACAATTTGGGGCCACTGACAAATACTGGAAGATAGGAAGTGCTCATAGCTAGTATGTTTTCAAACCTTGCTGTACCAGGAAAATTATCTGTATCCAGACTAAAGTCACAAAAAATGTGTAGGGGATGATTTCCCTTCTTGGAATATTAGAAATGACATTTTCAGTTTGATCATAATAGAGTGAGTTTGAGCTGAGTTTTTCTCAATTGTCATATCTAGATATTTATTTAAAAAAATAAAGCTGACAGTTTGAAATGCCTAGTAACCTAAGCTGTTATAGTCAACCTGTTAGAATACATGCAGGAATCGTCAATATCTATTGGAAAGTTAAAGCCTGGGAAAAAAAATTCCATGTCATGACATCACAGAAAACTGGCAACCTTACAATAAAGGAAGAGGATAAGAATTTTGGACATTCTGCCCTCCCTTTGTGTTCTGCATTTTCCTGTCACTATTCTATACACAGTCTAATGCTTCAATGAGCTACCTTTTCTGTATTAGAGCAGATATCTACTATGAGTTTTACACTAGGATTTTATAGCTATTCCAATATTCAGGCCTATGATGAGAATGTTCCCTGATTTGGTAGACAGATTCTACTTCAGCACTCTACTTGAGCCTCTTGGGGCAGGGGGAGGAGGAGGGAATATCCCAGATGGAAAACGAAATATTAGACTTACTACATAGGGTGCTCAAGCTATTAAGTCAGGACATGTCCAGGATCAGGAAATATCAAACTTCTGCAACGAGTACTTCTGCTTCATAGTCAGACTTGCCTGCATTCCTATAAGGATCCCAATGGGGCAAAATGTGGATCACCATCAGCAAGAAGAAAATCACTGCCAAAAATGTTTGCAGGTGTTACAGCTACAGTGTTTAAGAAAGGAGCTATATTATCTTAGTTCTTTAGCAAGACATTTGTAAGATCATAAAGTCAAGATTATTGGTGGCACAGCAAAAGTATCTACAGTTCTTCCACTCCTCTATTTGAATTATTTTTTTTCCTGTGATGCTTATCACTATCTGACATTAACTCACAAACACATAGTCATTTTCTTTCCTAGCCCTGAGATAAACTACATGAAGGCAGGTATTGTATATATCTTGTTCACTATTTTAGCTCCAGTGCATAGAATAGTGTTTAGCAATTGTTAGGTGTTCAATCAATGCTTGTAGAATGAATGAAAAACAAAGACCATCAGGCAGTTTTCTCTGGAAAGAGTATGTGGGCTTGTGGCCAATAAACTACCTAGACAAAAGCACCACACAGTCTCTGACTACCACATGTTTTCTGAC